TATAACTTGTGAATATTTTCTCCCATTTGGTAGGTAGGTTGTCTATTTTCTCTGTGGATTATATCTTTTGCTGTGAAGAAGACTTTTAGTTTAATTAAGTCTCATTTATTTGTTTTTGTTTTTGTTTTATTTGCTTTTGGGGGCTTAGCCATAAATTCTTTACTAGGCCAATGTCAAGGATAGTATTTCCTATGTTTCCTTCTAAGATTTTTATGGTGTAAGGTCTCACATTTAAATCTTTAATCCATCCTGAGTCAATTTTTATATATTGTGAGTGATCCAGTTTCATTCTTCTGCATGAGGCCAATTTTCCAAGCACCATTTATTGAATAGTCTGTCCTTTCTCCAGTATAAGCTTTTGTCTGCATTGTAAAAGATCAGTTGGTTGTAGGTATCTGGCTTATTTTCGGGGTTCTCTGTACTGTTCCATTGGTCTATGTGTCTACTGTTATAGAAGTAACACACTATTTTGGTTAATATTGCTTTGTTGTGTAATTTGAAGTCAGGTAATGTAATACCCTCATCTTTTTTTCTTTTTGCTTAAGATTGCTTTGGCTATTTGTGCTCTTTTTTGGTTCCATATAAATTTTAGAGTTGTTTTTCCTAATTCTATAAAAATAATGTTCATATTTTGATAAGAATTCATTGCAACTGTACATTGCTTTGGGAAATATGGACATTTTAACAATATTAATTCTTCCAATCCATAAGCATGGGATGTTTTTCCATTTGCTTGTGCTATCTATGTTTCTTTCATTCGTGTTTTGTAGTTCTCCTTGTAAAGGTCTTTTACCTCTTTTGTTAAATATATTCCTAGATTCTTTTGTTAGTTTGTTTGTAGCTATGGTAAATGAAATTGAGTTCTTGATTTGATTCTCAGCTTGGTTATTAGTGTATACAAGGCTACTGATTTTTTATGTTACTTTTGTAACCTGGACTTTACTGAATTCGTTTACCAATTCTAGAAGTCTTATAAGTGTCTTTAGAGTTTTCTAGGTATAACATCATATTGTTGGCAAACAAGTATACTGTGTTTCCCTGAATATAAGACCTACCCATAAAATAAGCCCTAGCAGGATTTCTAAGCATTTGCACAGTATAAGCCCTACCCTGAAAATAAGACCTAGTGATGGGCATGGCTACACAGCGTTTCTGCACAACCCATGCATTTCGTTGCCGAGCGATAGAGAACACGAGCAGCCCTTCTTATCTGCCCCATGAGAGCTCTATTGCTCCACATGAGAGATTGGGGCCAATGGTTCTAAAGAAAATAGAGTCGCAAGAAATTCAGGATGGAATTCGGTGTTTGGAGAGTCATGATGATGCTCCAGAAGAAGATGACTTAACTATATTTGAATAAATGTAGATTGTTGTACCGTACTTAAAAAAAATAACACATCCCCTGAAAATAAGCCCTAGGGTGTCTTCTTGAGGAAAAATAAATATAAGACCCTGTCTTATTTTCAGGGAAACACAGTTGTTTGACTTCCTCTTTTCCAGTTTGGATGCCTTTATTTTTTTCTTTTGCCTGATTGCTCTGGCTAGGACTTCCACTACTATGTTGAATAGGAGTGATGAAAGTAGGCATCCTTGCCTTGCTTCAGTGCATAGGGGGAATGATTTTAACTTTCTCCCATTCATTATGATGTTGGCTGTTGGTTTGTCATATATGGCTTTTATAATTTTGAGGTATGTTCTTTCTATGACAAGTTTGTTATGAGTTTCTATCATAAAGGGGAGCTGGATTTTATTGAATGCTTTTTCCATCTGTTTAGATGATCATATGATTTTTGTTTTAAATTTTATGTATGTGATTAATCACATGTATTGATGTCCAATATTGAAATATCCTTGCATTCCTAGGATGAAACCCTCTTGTTCATGGTGAATTAGTTTTTTGATGTGATATTGGATTCAGTTTGCTTCTCTTTTGTGAAGGATTTTTGCATCTATGTTCATGAGGTATATAGGTTTGTAGTTTACTTTTTGTGTGTGTGTGTCCATTCTTGGCTTTGATACCATGGTGATACTGGCTTTGTAGAATGAGTTAGGGAGGATTCTTTCCTTCTCGATGTAATGGAACAGTTTATGTAGAAAAGGGACTAGTTCTTTGGAGGTCTGGTAGAATTTGGCTGTGAATCTATCTGGTACTGGGCTTTTTTATTGTTATTGGGAGATATTTTAAAAATTATTATTATTATTACTGTTTGAATCTCACCCATTATTGGTCTGTTCAGGATTTCTATTTCTTCCTGATTCAAACTTGGCAGGTCATATGTTTAAAAAATTTATCCATTTCCCTTTGATTGTCTAGTTTGTGTGCATAGAGGTATTCATAAACATCTCAGATGATCATTTGTATTTCTGTGGTGTCAGTTGTAATGTCTCCTTTTACATTTCTGGTTGAGCTTGTTTGAATCCTGTCTGTCCTTTCTTGGTTAATATAACTAGTGGTCTATTGATTTTGTTATCTATTCAATGAACCAACATATAATTTCATTTATTCTTTGAATTTTTTTTACTTTCAATTTCATTTAGTTTTGCTCTGATCTTTATTTCTTATATTCTGCTAGCTTTAGGTTTGGTTTGTTCTTGTTTTTGTAATTCCTGGAGTTGTGACATTTGGCTGTTAATTTGAAGTCTTTCTATTCTTTTGACTTAGGCATTTAGTGCTATGAACTTCCCTCTTAGCACTGCTTTGACTGTATCCCAGATATTTTGGTAGCTTTTGTTGCCATTGTCATGCAATACAAATTTTTTTATTTCCATCTTGATTTAATCATTGGCCCAAAGATCTTTCAGTAGCACATTGTTTAATTTCCATGTATTTGAGAGTTCCTCTTGTAATTGATTTCTAGCTTTATTCCATGGTGGTCTGAGAAGATACATGATATAATTTCATTTTTTTTTCAATTTGCTGAGACTTGTTTTGTGGCCTAACATATGGTCTGTCTTGAAAAATGTTTTATGTACTGATGAGAAGAATATATATTCTGCAGGTTTTCTGTGAAGAATAACAAAATATGATACATCAAAATATGCTACTTTGACATATTGACTATTTTTAGCTACAGAAAATTGAAAAGAAGCAGAAAAAGCTCTTTGCTCTCCCCCTATTTGCCTAAAAGGAGGGCATAAATTTGTAAAGATATCCCTCCTCTTTCTTTACCAAGATGGATGGAAATTGAATTGTTGTCATAAGAAAGCATCTCAGCCTCTGAGCTGATTTCCAGATCTTCTAAGCCAGTTCACAGACCTGAAGCCCTAATGGAATAAGAGACAAGGTTCTTTACAGAAAGACCTTGCAGCACTGCAGCAGTACATATTGTGTGTCTTCCTCTGGGCCAAGGAAAGGGAAAATGTGAAACTTTTAGGAATTACTAGATGTTAGCTTTAAATTAATGCTAACCCAAATTCATATTTCCAAAGCTAAACTATTGATCTAACCCTCTCCTCCACAAATCTGTCCAGCCATTGTCTTCTTCACCTGAATTGATCTTTCCCCAACTCAGCACCCTTCCATTTGTTCAGGCCTAAATCTTGGGGTGATCTTTGACATGTCTCCTTCTCTCATTACACATCTAATCCATCAACACATCTGTTGGCTCTATGGAATACATCCAGATTTGGAGCACTCTTTCCTGTTCAATGCCTACTGCCCTGGTCCATGCCACGTCATGTCATGACTGGATTACCAGAATAGACTCTAATAATATGTCTGCCCTCTTCTAACCTCATCCTCCATAGTCTATTCTCAACATAACAGATAGATCAATCCTTTAAAGATATAAGTCATTCATGTCACTTCTCTGCTCAAAACCCTGAATAAGACTCCCCATTTCACTCATAGAGAAAGTTAATCAAGGGCAACTCCAGACTAAGACCCTTATCTGCCCAGAGAAGGCACCAGATTGAGGAATCTACATTACAAATTTTGCTAAAACTAGCCTTTATCTTCCATTAGTTTTCCCTGTATGTTTACTTTCCCCCAATTTGCTGCCCCTAGAAGCTCAAAGTCCTTTTCCATTTCTTATTACTTCTCTACAAAATTTATTATAAATTTTTGTTAAGATACTATAATATGTAAGCCCAATTTCTAACTACCACTTAGAATTACTCATCACTGAGTATTCCCAAGTGAATGTGCTATGTACATGTTAATAGACTTCTGTTTGTTTTTCTCTTGTTTATCTGTCTTTTGTCAGTCTAATTTACAAGACTCAAGCTCATGAACCTAGAATAGGTAAAGGAAAAATAATTTTTTTCCTTCCCTGTGATTGCTAATCTATGGCTTTCCATGCAGACAATTGGTCAATAGTTCATGGTAGTATTTTAACTTGCTCATTAATTCATTCATTTATTTAACTAATGTTTATTTAGTGATTACTATTTGCATGACAACATGCTAGGGTGAGATTATAAAGATGAATTCAATATACACTTTTTTCTTAAAGAATTTGCTCCTTAGTAGGGATGATGAGGCATGTATATAAATAGAAAAATGTTCTAAATTACATGAATGAAAGTTGCATGAGATTTAACAGAAGGGAATATTTAATTTCAGCCAGGCAGACGGCAATGAAAGGAGGGAAAACAAGGAAATCTGGGAGGAACTGGCAAGATTTAGCTGGAGTTTAAACATCTGTATATTGGGCAGAAGGGAATTTCTGGCTGAAGAAATAGTATGAACATAGTTTCAAAAAAGCAGGAAACTTGACACAGGTCGAACATAAAATTGTTTTCATGAAAGAGACTAAAGGGAAATATACTATCAAATGATACAATCAGACTGAAGGGACCCTGAATGTCATACTAAGAGATTTTGGGTCTTTATTTTTTAGGCAAAAGCAAATTATTAGATGTTTTAGATAAAGGAGGTGAAAGAAACTTGTATTTCAGGATGGCTCCTGATGAAGATGTGTGCATGGTGGTTATAAACTGAATTTTGTTGGGAAGATGCCCCAAATGACGTTCCTAACCAAGATCTCTTTCTTTTCCAGGCTGCTGATGTGCTGTTGCAACATGGAGCTAATGTCAACGTTCAAGATGCAGTTTTCTTTACTCCATTGCACATCGCAGCATACTATGGGCATGAACAGGCAAGTCTGCAGGGGCCACTTACTTAAGTGTGTCAGGCTTTTGTTGAACTGTCCTATCTTCAAAGAAAGCATATTTACAATATCTTTTGAATTATTTTTGTCATATTCTCATCAGCTCCATCCTTGGGAAGCTTGTAGATTCATATAAGTATTACAGCTGTGTCACGTTCTTCATTTTTATTATCTTAGTACACAAAGGAGGCAGCAGAACACATTGGTAAGTTTGAGGCCACAGGAATCAATCAGCCAGAATTTGAAAAATTCCTAGCTTTATGACCCCATATAGATTATATAATCCCTCTGATCTTCATTTCTTCATCTATAAAATGGGAAAAATAGTAATAGTACCTACCTCATAGGGTTGCTATCATGATGAGACATAAATTGTTTAGCAAATGCTCAGTAAATGTTGCTGTGATGATGCTAATGACAATAACAATAAAACAACTCATAAAGGTTCTATAAAAAAATCACTAAATGTGCTTTAATTATATAATTTACTTTAAGTATATAATTATATAACAGGTACATTTTCATAAAATTTTATGTTCTATAATAAAAGAAAAATATATGTAGAATGCTTTAAAGTTTTTAAAGTACTTTCATTCAATACATAATTTTGTTTGATCTTCACAACTTTAAAATTAATAAGAATTGCCATGTGAGTGAGCTCATACAATAGGACCGTCATTATGTTAAAACCTTTATTTAGTTGCTCTAATTTTGCCATAACCCTAAATTAGCTATTATTTCTCCCCCCCCCTTTTTTAAATCAATTATACACATGAAGATCAGTAAGGTCAGATAGCATCAAAGTATGCAGCTAATAAATAGAAGAGCTAGAATATGTACTCAAGTCTATCCAATCCAAAGCCCATATTTGTTGTTCTGTTATACCAAAGCACTTCTTCTTATTCCACTTCAGTCAGTGAGACAAACTATAAAGTCCTTACAGTTTGCCTAACTGGAGAAGCCAGAATTCAAGACAGGATGTTCTAACTTCAAAGTTCATTGATTTTCAAACTTAACATATTGAAAGACAAAATTTGCATGTGCTACTTTAAAACACTGCTCTTTGGCTATTCTCAAAGAACTGAAAAGAACCAAATAAAACAGAAATACAAATGTAACTGGATAACCAAACATAACTGTTCTTTGGATACCCCATTTTTTACTCTTCCTCATTTTATCTCTCTAGGCTCATTCAATTATGAAGTAGAATTATACCTTTTTACCTTACTGGAGGTCATGCCACAGAACTGCCTGAGGGTCCCCAGTTGAAAATCAAACTTACTTGTGTCCCTGTGCTGTTCTAGTCACTGTGCCTTTATTTCTCTGCTAGCTGATATATGCTTAGACACTCTCAGACCTGTGAAGCGTGACCTATAGGTAGGAAAGATTGCTTATTTCATTGATGTGCGGCTCAGAGTGCACTGGAGTGTACTGGAGAGCTAGGCACTGAAAATGCTTTTGAAAGTACAGCTCCAAAAGCACAAGTGATGGGAAAATTCCATACTTTTCTGACTTCAGGCACAGACAGGATATACACAATGCATGTTATTTGTAGAGTCATCCTCTTTGGCGATTAACCTCATCACCCGGCAGAAACATAAGGAGCCTCTATGCGTGTTGGATGGAGAACTAAATTTGTTTACTTTCCCTAAAAATATAGTCACAGTCTTATAAAATTATGCTAAAATGTGGATGGCCCTTTTATGATAAGGGGCCCACTTTCTGTGTGTGAAGGCAGCACATAAGTAATTTATAGAGGCTATTGTCATTCGCTAAAATATGCTGACAAGGAGAATGGCATATTTGATATATAAATGTACCTAATGTGCCATGTTCCTTGCCATTTGTTTATTTACTTATTTTTAAGTGGAAGAGTAGATGTTTTGTACCAAGAGCAATATTTCCTAGGTATGTAATAATAGTGCTTAATAGACAATCGATTTCAGAGATAGTTTAAATCTGTCTACTATAAAGTCATATAATCAGAATTTATGGAGTCTGTGTAAGTGGAAATATTTGCTTAGGAGTGCAAGGTTCTTGAGACTAAACTTCTGCTGTTCTGATTTCTCCTGAAGTAAGTCTTGTTCTGCCCATTAGCCAACAAAAATGTAAAATACAAATACTCCAAGTTCAAGCTACCACTTTTACTAACAGTTATTGAGTGCCAGGCACTTTTCTAAGTGCTTATGTGTCATAACGTATTTAATCCTCACGATAACTCTAAGAGGTAGAGTTGTTATTATTCCCATCTTAGCAATGAAGAAACCAAAGTATCAAAAGGTTAAATAATTTTTTCAAGGTGACATAGCTAGTAAGCAGAATCCTGACTCCAGAACCCTTGCTCTTGTCTACTACATTCAATAGGAAATCAGTTTCCCTACATCCCACCCAGCTAATATTTTTCCTGGGACTTCTATAAAATGTCTACTATATTCTTGAGAGGTTTCTACTCAAGACATGTTTATTTGCTGACTCATAGGAAGTAAAAATAATTTTAGAGCTTGAATTCATTTTTGTGCTGACACCTCAGTGGTCAGGACAAATAAGGGGTCCTCCCCTAACTGCTATTTTAATGACTCAGAGGCATCCTAACTTACCTCTTAGTATCCCTGAGGTGACTTTTAAAATTCTCAGTGGAGGCATTGTCAGGTTCAGAGAAATTATTGGGTAAGTTCCTAAGTATTTATGTAAGTGATTCAAAGGAACCTGGTCAATTAATGGAAACAATCCCAGGAAGACTCCTAAATGCTTCATCATTTCATCCCTCTCTGTTCTTTTGGATGTGGAGCCTCAGATAATTGGGGAAGCTGCCAGGGCTGCTGTGGCTATCTCTCACTTACTCACACATTGAGACAAAGACCAAGAACTCCAGTAGCGAAAGGACCAGTGGTGGTCTATGTGTGGAGCAGCCATGAAAATCAAGAATCAAGCAAACTATTGCTGGCTCAGGCCAAAAGGAAACTTTGGAAAAGATTGTTCAGAGAAGACTATGTGTGACTTAGAATTATTTATGTACAATGAAGACCTATGTTATAAAATTGACAAGAGATTGATACCAAGGAGAAGAAATGGCAAAAGTAGGTTTTCAAAGCCAAAAAATGTGGAGATAATTTTTTTTTCAAAGCTCCCTCATATCTCATCTAGTCCTCACAATAACTTTGAAACAAGAATGGTAAACAATATTATTTCAGTTCACCAATAAAAATGGAAAATAGCATTAATAAAACTTATACTATATGTCAGTCATGTGCTATGCACTTTAAACAAGTTATCTCATTTGATCCTCAAAACAAACCATAAGTTAAGTCATATAATATGATTCACATTGGACATATGAGGAAACTTACTTAGGTTCAGATAAGTTAACTAATTTTGTCAAGGTCACACAGCTGATATAAATCAGATTCTAGATTACTCCTATTCCTATCTTACTCTGGATCTTAACTCTTAATCAGTATGTTATATTGCCCTTCAACTTAAAAAATAAATATTATAAGGTCAGTAGCAGACACCATTGGTTGCTTAGGCAGAGCTATCATTCCGATACTGCTGCTTCGTGCCACATTTTACCTTCCTTGCAGACTCACGATTTTATTCCACTGTTCAGCCTTCTTCTAGAGGTTGTATTAATACTTAGAGAATATCTCTCTATCCCCAGCCACTGTGTGTTAGATTTTTGATTAGTTGAAGCCACTCACAGTAAATCTTTCACCTTCCCAGATATAAGTTGCAAATGACTTAGTCCAGGCCAAAAAGATATGGGAAAGTGATTTCTGGAGAGATTTTAGGAAGGAATTCCTAGATTAAAAAAAAAAAAAAAAAAAAAGATGGTCCTTTATTTCAAAAGGTAGAGATAGTCTTTTACTCTGTGGACTCTGGTTCTAATACCTGGAGCTGCTGCAGCTCTCTTTCTACCATGAGGGGATTCATCCTACTACATATGACAGAACAGAATGACAGAAAGAACTTGAGTTCTGATGTTGTTATTAATCTGTTGTATTAATCAACCTTGGAATTACTCCAGTCTTAGACATCTTGTTAGGTTATGTAATAATAAATTGCTTATTTTTTAGGCCCATTGAATTATGATTTTCTGTTATTTCCAGATGAAAATAACCTAAGAGAAGGCTTTAATGATATGTGTTCTTCTATATTGCTGAAACCTTTGCATTATTGTTTGATTTTTGATACTAATTTCAAATGAATGGATTCATTAGGTAACCCGCCTCCTTTTGAAATTTGGTGCTGATGTAAATGTAAGTGGTGAAGTTGGAGATAGACCCCTCCACTTAGCATCTGCAAAAGGATTCTTTAATATTGTGAAACTCTTGATGGAAGAAAGCAACAAAGCAGATGGTAAGATTTTACATTTAGAAGACCTTTGCTATCATTTACTTTATGTATACTTTTTCTAATACTTCCCTTACTTGAGAATAATCTTGAAGTTGACTAATTCTGTGGTCATGCACTAATTTGTTATACAAGTTATGATTTATTATTTTTAATATATTTATTTAACCTACATGTGAATCCTTCTTTACATGCTCAATTCTTAATACATTAGGTGCTTCAGTGAGCATAAGAAGTTTTCTTAGGTAAAGTAGTTCTACATGTTGTTATTCATTAAGCTTTATCTTTAAATTGAGGTATAATTTACATATAGCAAATTTTCAAATCTTAAGTATATAGCCTGATGAATATTTATTTATGCATACATTCCATGTAAAAAACACCCAAATCAAGATTTAAAATATTTCATCACTCTGGAATGTTCCCTTGTACACCCATTTCAGTAAATAACCTTTGCCACCAAAGTTAATCAGTATTCTGGCTTCTGTTGCCATAGACTGATTTTGTTTGTTTTTGAAGTTCGCATAATTTTGTGACAGGCATCTTTTCCTAACAAGATGATTTTAACTTTTATACATGTTGTTCTACGAATCAAAGTTTGCTCTTTTATATTGCTGACGATTATAGGAATATACTACAATTTGTATGTACATTCTCCTCCTAATGGACATTTTAATATTTCTGGTATTCCTTTATTATGATGCAATTGCCAGCAGCATTCTTATTCAAATCTTTTTGTGGACATGCACATTCATTTCTCTTAAGTGTGTAATAGGAGTGGGATTGCTGAATCAAAGAGTAATTCATATGTTTAACTTTTTAGGAAATTTCTAGTTTTCCAAAGTGTTTATACTATTTTTTAATCCCACAGTGATATGAAAGTTTCAGTTGCTCCCCACAGTATCACCAATATTTGATATGATATTACTATATTTTTAAATAGAGATAGAGTTTGAGTGTGATCAACTTAGCAAAAAGCTTTAGGATACATAGAAGGATGTTAGAATTGGTTAATAGAATAGAATTTCCCTTAATTTTTTAAATTATAAAATGAATTTTGGAAAGTTGATTAAAAGTATTGAAAAATTTCATTCTTCCACATTTCTTCAAAAACTTTATTTTTTGACATAAATTCACTCAGTTACAGCTTGCCATTAAATTCTCTCAGGCATATCCAACATCCTTCCATTGACCCCCAAGAGACCTAATTAAAAGCCCAGCTGTAAGAGCTGCTGGCCTTTGCAGCAGGAACAATACACATTTCTAAAAGGACATGGTTGTCAAATCTCTAGAACTACCAGTTCCTTGGCCCAAAATTCAGATTGATATTTAGTTAATAAAGCTAATCAATGTTTTCATCTACCCAAAAGACAAACACAAAGGCTCTTAGAAACAGCTGTGGCAAGAGAGTAGGGCAATTTCCAATTTCCAAGTTGGAAACAGGAGCCACTTTATTTTGTAAAATTTAAGAAACATAGTTTGTATTGTTTTCTATATGCCAGTGTTCAATAACTCGTGCATCTACCTTATAGCATTATTATAAATAACCTATGTTGTCAGGATGTAAGCAACACTGTTCCTTGGACCTTATTTAAGCAATCTCTTTCATTCTGTTAGTTTAAAATAGGCAGAGGTGCACCCACACGAACCACTGAACACATAATTGTGTTTTTGAAACCGCCTCACTTTTCCAAGGGGTCAGGAACCACATCACTTTTTCTTTTTATTATTGATGCCAACCTTAGCTTTTTATTCCTCTGCACAACTCCAAAGCTCAGTAGTGTCAAAATGAGTGTCATTTATGATCAGCATGTCGCCAGGATCAAAGGATTCTTCTGCAAAAGGCATTGAAATGTGTACTACACCTGTATTCCCCTTACTTACCAGCATCATATGATATAATTTTTAATTTTTTCTTTCTGACTCACACAAGTACTTCATGCCTCCTACCCAATCATTTTAAAAAATCAAGAGACAGCATGAGTCAGATTTTTAAGTTTTTTATTTCCTTCTAGTACATGCTTGATATTAAGTACCATTTGCACTTCAACCAATTGCAAAAAATAAATCAGAAGATCTGCTGTGCCAATGGACACTGCACAGGATTTTCATCAGTTACTTCACTTATTTCAAAATGTTGCTAAGCCTCCAGATGATTTATTTTAGATATGGACCCTGCCTGTGGTAAATGGACATAAGAGGACGATTAAATGAATAACCCCAAAAGGAGTACAATTTACAGTATGTTTCCATGGTAACGGAATGTCACAAATAAAAATAAATCCAGCTTACAAAATTACCCAAAATGTGATTCTCAAGGCAGTCTCTTCAGTTTAACATGTTTGGAAGGCTGACCTATTCAGTCAGGTATGTTTTAAGTCTCTGGTCTGCTTCTTTGTATCTCTTAGGACAACGAAAAAGGAGAAAAGTATTGAATGAGATTGAAAAGGTTAAAATATTGCTGGACTGCATAAGAAAAAAAATAGTGATATGGTCCTCAAAATGTATCATTTGATAATGTTGAAAACAGAAAAAATTAAATTCAGAATTTATTCGTTTTTGTCACCTGCTTCTTAAATCCTATAGTTCTTTTAAATAACACAATAACATGGAACTGGATATTACAGAAAGCCACAAAAAACTCCTAGGGGCATGCCCAGTAAGAAGGAAGTGTTTTTTTGTTTGTTTGTTTGTTTTTAATATATCTTATTGGAGCTATTACATGGTTTTGTTATTGAAAGCTATTTAAGACACATTTGCAAGTTACTTTAAAGATCCTCTGGGAACTGCTGGAATTACTTGGTTAATCTAGAAATTTTTATTTTATCTTTAAGGTCAATAAACAGAAATAAGGAAGAAGGAACATCTACCCATCAGCCCATTTATCCAACCTTTCTTTCAAAAGACATTACTGAACATCTACTCTCTTGAAAGTAGAGGACTAAGCACTAAACATTTTTCTAATAATTCACATATATTTCTTCGTTTGAAATTCCATTTAAGTCTCTCAATAAGATGTTAAGTTAGAGCAAATAGAATATCATTCACACATTCAAGTTTCCTGAAATAAGATATAATAATATAACTTTATTTTTGTCTTTACAAGTTGGTTCAAGACAAAACTAAGTAGATCACAATGACTGAAACAAAAACAGAGGTATATATAGAGGTATATATATAAACTCTGTTTCTGATCCTGTAAGTCTCCTGGCTTGTACCTCCTCCAGTCGGTATTTATATCTTTTTTGATAGAGATAATGTCTAGGCAACTGCAGGTAATTCACCAAGTTGATAACCTACTCTGAAGTTGATTGATTCAATTGGAGAAGAATAGTGTTGGGCGGGGCCAGAGACAACCAAAGGCAAATCATAAATTAATGAGATTGCACTGCATTCTGCTTTACAATTTCCCTTCTGAACCTCAAGAACTCTTATGTGACTCTCCAGATGCCCTGGGCTCCCAACAGTTCTCGAACATCGACTTGTGGCATTGACTTTCCCTGGCTTAGAAGAGAATGTGAACAAAGCGAAAGTTTTATAAAAAGGGAGATAATCAAAAGAACTAGGGACGTTCTTCTGAGTGAAAGGTGTCTTTCTGAGCTACTGATTAATATAAAAGATTCAAAGATTTATTTTTCATTAACAGCCTTGAGGGGAAAAACTCAGTGATTTTGTTAAAGACTTCTCTTTGGCTTAAAATCTTGCGGGACAATAAAATGAGAATGGTTGTCTACAAATATAGCAACTACAAGGCTTAAATCAGTCTTTACTGATTGTTAAATGATGATTATAATAACAGTAGTAAATTTTTCTTATTCTTCATCAGTTTTAAAAAATTTTTCCTTCCCTTCAGTATTTTTTGTTCCACAGAGAATTTCTATTATAGATATATAAGAGAATGAGAATGACAAGTACGTTAATGTCTACTATTTTCTATTTTGAATAAAGCACCCTGTGCAGAATGACAAAGTAATCAAATACATAAAATAAATCACTTTACAGCACTTGATCCAATTATTTTAGTTTAAAAATTGAGTTAAAGTCAGACCTAGAATTAAGCAGTTTGGTTTTCAGTTGTTAGTACTTCAGGCTTGTAATTATTGACTATTCAACTATACTGTAAGATATTTGAGGGTATGGACTCTATGCATTTATAGTAGATGATTGGTCTTAGGACTTAGCAAATTTTAAGGGGGACATTAGCAAAAAGGTAGAGTAACTTTTTAAAAATCTCTAATATGTAACAGGCATCATACTAGATAGATGCTTTGCAACCACATCGCCTTTAATCCTTTCAGGATCCCTGCAACAATGGTGTTATTATATCCACTGCTTCTAATAAGACGTTAGTGCCTCCAACACTAGCTTGGTAGTTAATGCATAGTGATAATTTCTTAAGTCAGAATGTATCAGGCAAGCTTTCTTACTTTTAAGAATTGTAAAGTCACTCTTGCTAATTTAAGCATAAAAGAGATATACCAAAGGATATCAATTAGCACACAGAATCTTCCCCAGAATAGGGTAGAAAGCTAGGTTTAGAAGACTCACAGTGAGGACTAACATCCCAAATCATGCCCCAAATCTGATCCCCTGAAGACACACTGACACCCCTGCTAGGCACACACATCAACATTTGTACTTCTGGTGCCAACAACAAGGGCACTGAATCTGTGGCTGGAATTGCTACCAGTAGAAATTGGATGGAGCTATTATCACCACTGCCCCGTTGCCACTGTTTTTTTGTGTTATCAAATTCTGAAGTCAAAGTCTAATATGGTGTGTTGATTGGAGGAGTCTGTACATTGGTGACTAAACCAGGGAACTGTTGAGAGTAAAAAAGTCACTATTAAGAATTATCCCAGGATAACAAGCCTAAAACAGAACATATGAGAATCCTCCATTAATTCTGTGCCCTTGCTGCAAAGAGATCTTGGAAAGTACATTTTTAGCTTCTATGATAGAACATGGTCTTGGCCTCTTGTCAGTACTTGCAGTATAGGGAATTACTCACATGTCAGAAGAGGTTATAAGGTTGGGTGGTCCAAAGAGAAGAACAAATGTCCACTACTGAGTGAAGAACTGAATTTTAAATAACCTGTAACACAACTAATGAGATCTTTCTCATGCTAAAGTGCTCTTCCTTTTCATTATACCATGCTTTGCATGCTGTAGTATAGCAATTCTCAGCTAAGGGTATACATCAGAACTTCCTAAACAGTATTTTAAACATATAGATTGCAGAGCCTCACTCTAACCTACTGAACCAAAATCTCTGAGAATGGTGCTCTGACCAGAATCTGTAATTTTAATGTGCTTCAGAGAAAAAAAAATCAATTTGAAAGGAGATACTTGTGGAAATAAGGCCACACGTACCTTTTGGATGCTTATTAGTTTCCTGAACTATTCCATTCTGCAAGGTAGATTTGATTAGATGCATTCCATAGAATTTATAGGAGCTAGAAGAAAATCTGTTTAATGTGGTAATAGGCAATAAAATAGAACTATAACTTTTTTAATTGGTTGCACTTAATTTCCCCTATTATTATCATTAACTGGAAATCTTCAGATGTCTCTCAGGCACTTAGAAATGTCCATGGTATTACACATATGAAGGCTGAGAAACAGAAGATTCCAGAGAACATGTCTTTTTTTTTCTTGCTGTTGACAGTGAATGCTCAGGATAATGAAGACCACGTCCCGCTCCATTTCTGTTGTCGATTTGGACACCGTGATATTGTGAAGTACCTGCTCCAAAGTAATTTGGAAGTTCAACCCCATGTTGTTAATATTTATGGAGACACCCCTTTGCATCTGTGAGTATTATGTAGGGTTCCATAGGTCCTCCAGGTACACCACATGCACTCTCTTACTATTATCAAAATATTTTCTTCAAATCTAGGGCATGCTACAATGGCAAATTTGAAGTCGCCAAGGAAATCATCCAAATATCAGGAACAGAAAGTCTGACTAAGGAAAACATCTTCAGTGAAACAGCTTTTCACAGGTAAAAGAATATTTAAGTGCCATAGCCGCTAACTTAGCTGACACTGTACAGCACCTGAAGTTGTGTACATAAAGCAAGAACAAATAGTGGCAGATGTTGCAATCAGAGACCGATAGAAGAGGTAGTGCAGAGGACAAGGAGCCCAAGCTAGATGCACAGAAGAAAAGGTGAAGGCAGATGCTATAGTCAGTACAACAGATGGGGCCGGAGCCAGATGCTGCATTCCTGGCAGCAGCCACAAAAACAGGGACTGATGTTGCCAGGGCAACAGGCATATCAACATCTGTAAGCATATTGCTTCTATTCCTCTTCACTCCGTGGAAAGCTGCCAAAAAGGGCTGTGCCCATAATCCTCCTCCGACAAGAATCTCATTACCAGAATTCATCAGCATCAAATGTGACACTTTTTTCCTTACCACTTAAACCTTGTGTGCAAATGTGTCTACCTATCTAAGACATCCATCTGTCAGCCTGTAAAAGCCTAGTCAGGGTGGCCACTCAGATACCTAAGAAGGCATTAGCTCTTTTCTAGGAATCCATGAGAGCCCTTTACAGTGTGCTTTAGAGAAATACATTGAAAGAGCAGCTGGGATTAGAAAAGTTGCAATACAAATAAAAGAGATAAAAAGGAAAGAAAATGTTGCTAATAACTCAGAGCCATAGTTTCCTAAAATGTGCAGAAGGAAGGTGGATGTTTTATAAAATTTAAAGTCTTCATTTTTAATGAGTTGCTACTTTCCTATCAATGTAAAGCATAGCCATTTAAATTTAGTAAATCTTGAATATAAGATCATTTACCTATATATTACGTATTTCTTGGCTACTTCGCAACCTCTAAAAATGTATTTGAGACTAATTTGTTATTTATATAATGTTTATATTGCACTGATGAATCGTAGAAATGAGGAGACTCTTTTTCATACTGAACTAAAATTAAGCATGTGCTTCTGCATTAGGCATCAACCTGTCAAATTTCACATGAATTTCCAAATTTTTCTTATCAACCAAAGAGTTCAGCCAAAAGGAAGGTGAAGAAAAGCCATCCTTTATGGAGTGGTGACTATATGCCAGTTGATTTGCATTCATTGTATCATTTAATCCTCATAACCATTTTATGAAGTTGAATTTATTATCTCTCTTTTACAGATGAGAAAGTTGAGGCTCAGGGTAGCCAAGGAACTTGCCAAAGTTACTTATGGCTAGAAAATAAATGCCTGCCTAATTCCAAATCCTGTGCAGTTTACATATCTTCATGTTCTAGTAGCAAAATATTTTGTCTGTTTTCTACACACTTAGTAACAGAACAGAAGCAGGAACTCTTCAGATCATGCCTTCAGTCAAAATAGATTAGTGATATCTGTCCCTGAAGGGGCAGTTGGCAGAACTGATACGTACTGGTTGCTGGTATTCTCTTTCTTCATTAAGTCATGGCTGTTAAGACTGACACCTCAGGCTAGTTTTCAAATCATTTTGCTACTTTGTGCACTAAAATTGGAACCAACTGTAATCAGAAGGTGACTGTCACCTCCAGAAGATTGTCTAGATAAGAAATTTTATGAAATGAGTTAAAAGTATATACTCAATTGTTTTATAATATTTTGTGTAAGTATGTGGCTATTAGAAATAACAGATTAATATTTTGTTCTATTCATTTTAAGCACATATTTATAAAAGAAATTTCTTTTACATGAGGAATTCACTCTGAATATAGTTTTTGTATGTACAAATCACAGTGCTTTGCATAGTAAACACTCAATGCATTTCTGTCATTATTTTCATATGTATATACACACACATACATACACATGCATGTATTTGCAGACATATATTAAAAGGACATACACATGTGCATGTATATATAAATGCATACATATATTTACACATATATTTTGTATATATTCCAAACTCATTATTTTCTATAGTCGTTGCTTTGAAAATAAACAATGAATCAATTCAGACAATGGAATGTTAAATGTGTACTGTTACAAGTCCTATAATGCAAATAATTAATGGTGATATAATATATTGTACTGAGATGGTAGCTTTTTATTCACTCAATTATTCAAGAAAAGAGTTATTAAAGGCTTGCCTTCTATTGGTGCTGGTAGGAACATTAAGATGACAGGATCCTTTCCCTCCTTAAAGGAGCTCCATATAGGGTAACAAGGTAAACAGAGGTGTATTCTTTCCCATAACACAATGTGATAAGAGCCATAAAATTGAAATGACAAGGAACCAAAGGAGACAGCAATGAAGTCTGCCTTTGGCTCATGAGAATGAGGGAGTAATGGTTCAATTGGAAGAAGAATGAATGGCATTTCATTAAAGAAAAATGACTTGAGCAAGGCCATCCCAGGAAGAGGAAATAGTAATAATACCCAGTAAATTTCCTCTTTCTTCTAGAGTCAAGTTGCTGTGCCCTTCCTTTAGGCATGATCTAGATGGGGCTTTGCCCAGTGCAATCTCCTTCCAGTCTCCCAGTACATACCTTGTAGCTCTCTGGAGTTTGGAAGTAGAATATTGCTTGTGATCAAATGGTGCTAAAAGTAGAGGCATTCATTATGAAACTACAGAAAATTGATGAGAATTACAGTCAAAAAATTAAATCTCGTAGTCATTGCTAGGCATGTTTTATCTTACATAAAATCTTTTTCTCTGGGCATCTTCGCTTTACTAATAAACAGTAGAAATCAGAATTTCAATTAAGCACTTCATCAAATCGAGCTGTAAAGTTTATCTATAAAAATCTTATTTTCTCTGGTTCCTGGAATATGTTAATTTTTTCACAAAAACTTTCTCATAACTGGAAAGAGCTGATAATGAACAGTCCTCTACAGCCTGTAATATGATTCTATAAGCATTAATTCACTTGAAATTTCAGGAACAATTTGACAAATAGAGAAGATATCATCTATCATTATTTTATAGATAGTAAAACTAAACTCAAAGAGGCCAAATAACTTGTGTGAGGTCCTCTGGCTAGTGCATGACAGAACTCTGGATTTTGAGTCTACAATAAATGCTCCCTCAGTAAAATGACAGCTTTGAGATGTTATTTCTGGTTAAGGAAGTCTCTGAAGAGACAGTGGATGGTTTTTCCAGGGAACAATTTCAGACTTTACTCTGGATTTGACTAAAAATCCAGTAGCTTCCTGGATTCTTCATTCAATTGTTCTGCAGAATCATTCTCAGGTCCTACCGCTAAAAATGTGTGGAGCTCTTACAATACAGTATCTTTTCTCTTTTTATGGTAAAGAACTAAAATCAAAATTGTAGGAAATATTTGACACGAAAACACTAGAAATTTACATCTCCTTTCTTGAAGGTCCAGATGTGAGAATCTTTAGGATTTTATCATTATGTACACATTTTTATTCACCCTTGATGTACAGTGCTTGCTTCAATTTTATTACCTCCTTCTTCTTTCTCCTTCCTTCCTTCTTCCTTCTTTGTCTCTTTGGCACCCTTACATACACATGAGCAACTAGAATAGCCTGGCTTAATCAGCATTAAGGACTGCCATAAACAAAGTACCACAGATTGGGTGGCTTAAACAACAGAAATTTATCATCTCACAGTTCTGGAGGTTAGAAGACCCAAGATCAAGGTGTCAGCAGGTTTGGTTTATTCTGAGATCTGTCCTTGGCTTGAAGATGGCCACCTAGCTGTGTCTTCACACAGTTGTCCCTCTCTTCCTGTGTCATGTGTCCTAATCCCCTCTTCCTATAAGGACACCAGTCATATTGGATTAGAGCCCACCCTAATGATCCTATTTTAACTTAATCATCTCTTTAAAGACACTATCTCTAAATACAGTCACTTTGTGAAGTTATGGGGGTTAGGGCTTCAACATATGAATTTGGGGCGTGGGATACAATTTAGCCTATAACAAGGGCCTTCTATTTTCCTTATTTTGTGTTTTTGCAGTGCATGTACCTATGGAAAGAACATTGACCTAGTTAAATTTCTTCTTGATCAGAATGTCATAAACATCAACCACCAAGGAAGGGATGGGCATACAGGTAAGACTGTCGTGAAAACATTGCTAGTTCCAGATGCTTATCAATGCTCAAGCATAGTGGTGTGCCAAGGAATAAGGGGACATTGGGAGTGGAAAATCTCAATGGGGAGAGGTATTTTATCATCTGGCATCATTTAGAATGGATGGTGACTGGTGATGATATTTAATAAAGAGCAGACTGACTTTTGGTCAATTTCATTATTATGCTAAATTATCTACAGGCAATGAACCCACTTATAGCCTACTCCAAGGAAAGACTGCCCACACCACCCTACCCTTGGTTTGGTGGTCAAGAAAAATATCTCTTTGGGGTCTTTGTTCTTTTACTTGTGTAAAGATGCTAACATTTTTTTTCTTGGTAATTACAATAGATGTAGAAATATGAGAAATTGTACTGAGCAAAAGACAGTATATAAAGAAGATCGAGTAGAATAAAATACTTCCTTTGCTTAAAGTATTGTCTTCTTTGCTCAATAATAAAATGAATTCTTCATCAAAGAAATCAATCATTACTTCATATCTCTGGAAACAATGCTATTATGTGGTGATAAGTATACTTTGAAAATTGGGGTGCAGTTTTCTTTTGTTCTTCTTTCATTCTTTCAATTCTTTTCTATTACAGGATTACACTCTGCTTGTTACCATGGTCACATTCGCCTGGTTCAGTTCTTACTGGATAATGGAGCTGATATGAATCTAGTAGCTTGTGATCCCAGCAGGTCCAGTGGTGAAAAAGATGAGCAGACATGTTTGATGTGGGCTTATGAAAAAGGTATGTTTTTAATCATGCATTTCTACAGTAATACTGTGTGCATAGATTATGTCAATGCATTAGTAATTTCTTTGCTTGTATGACTTGCACACTCTCATTTCTTCTGTAGATTTTATTTGAGTCTCTGGGGCCTTGGATCAAAGAGTCCAATAGACCATCATTACAGAAAGCAACTCCTGGGCTGCAGATGAGCTGAAGGCATTCTCAGTATTTGTACTTTAAAAAGAAATGGTCACATTTCTAAATACTGGAGAAACAAAATTGTGATATGTAATGATACTAGAGTGGATTAGAGCTAGTCATTATCTCTTAAATAGGGGTATTTTGATGAGTTTTTGAATTTTTAAAAAGGGGATTAAGAACAAGGGAAAAAAGGACCATTTGTCAGATCTAACCCTGATGACAACACCTGTGCTAGAAAAATGTGAGGGAGCCAATGATTAGTGCTTAAGAATAAGCTTACTTAAGCTCAGAGTGGTGAGAGCTTAGACTCTGGTGTGAGAACACCTGGGTGTAAATCAGCCACGTTCTTTGACCTTGTGCAAGTTATTTAACCTTAATGAGCTCCACTGTTCTTATCTGAAAAAGGATAACAAAAACTTTTACTTCACAAGGTTGTAAAGATTAAATGACATAATATGTGCAAATTGCTTAGAAGGCTGGCTGGCATGAATTAAATAACAAATAATTGGTATTTTAGGTGATATGGAACAGCATATATTGTCATTGAAATTATAGGGTTATAACTGAATATTGTAAAATATGCCAGACTTTAAGGAAATGTTTTGTCATTTTAACTTTTGATGACTGCATTGTCTTTTTAAAATGTTTAAGTATGTAAAGAAATATATTTATCTTTTTGAATGCTAGAACCCTAAAAGATCATCCTGAAAGAGGCAATTACTAAGCTATAAGATTTCTCAGCCTACCAAGCTGATTTATTTATAAAAATTTTCTGCCTAAAATGGGAAATGAAAGTCCATCAATGAAAGGAGAGATGGTTCGATGAATGGAACTAGAGAGCTGTTGTAGGCATATAGTAAGCAAATAGATAAAGAGAAGGAAAAACATATAAGTCTGAAGACTACTAGTGAAAAAATGATATAGGAGTTACTTTTTAAAAAGTGAATAGACATGGAATATTAGATAATGAGTTAAATGTAGGGCTGCTATCGTTTTTACTTTTTATCTGAGTATCATATACATTCAAATATGTACACGTTTGCATATATTATAAATGTACAGCTCAATTAATTTTCACAAACTCCCCCAGCACCCAGATGAGGAAGCTGAACATGACTAGCACCTTAGAAATCCCATTTCCACTCTCTTCAAATCACTCCCCCAAGGAGGTTACTACTGCCTTCTTGTACCATGATTGGTTTTGCCTCTTTCTGTACTTTATATAAATGGAATGTTATGGCATATACTTTTTTGTGTCTGGCTTTTTTTAGCCAACAACTTATGAGATCTATCCATATCATTGTAAGCAGTCGTAGATCCTTCATTCTTACTGTTGTATACTGCTATGTGTCTGTATCACAATTCGTTTATTAATTGTTTTGTTCATGGGCATTGGGATAATTTTCAACTTAGGGATATTAAGAATACTGTTCCATGAACATTCACATAAACAAGTGCATGTTTTTAATTAAATATACAATTTCATTTCTGTTTGGCATAAAAGTCCTCTATTTTGCATTTTTAAAAATGTAGATAGCTCTATGTTTGAGTATCAGTTGGGAAATCTTAAATATTCTGAAGTCTCAGGGAGGCCATCCTAAATTCTATCTGCTCAACACATTGCATTAATTCAAATGATTTTCAGACAGTGTCTCTTAAGAAATATGTTTCAGAGTAAGACTGTTTACAAAGTATTAGTCTTCCAGAAGGCAACTCAGAAATTGCCACTACAGCTATCTCTTCACAAGGGTTAGCTTTGTTTGTTTTTAGTTGATTGAGAGTGATAGTTGAAAACTGGCTTTACCTTTATTTTTTGTGGAATTCCACACTTTTATGAAACAATGTAGCATCATGTAACCTCCTAAGATTTCCTACCAAATGACAAAAAAGATCTTTCAGCTTAGCGGAATTGCCCACTGGCCTCTGCAACATATGCCGTATTTGTCAGCCTTATTTGTTCAAACCAATGTGCTGAGCATCAGTGTTGCATTCTATTATTACTATGAATTTTAACAAATTGAATGTTAGTACCCAGGAGACAGATGGATATTTTGCATATGTTCTGGGGCAAAGCAAGTCAAACAACAAAATGAAAATTGTTGCTATTTTCTCTTGCTAGAGAAATGTTGCATTGTTTTCGTGTGTTCAGAGAGTGCCAATGTGGCCTTGTAATAAAGAATTGCTTCCCTTTTTCCCTCAAAGAAGGAGTCACCAAATTAATTGATATAGCATACTAAGGGTTTTCCTGAGCAATTTGGAGATGAAGTTGAGATGAAGTTGAGGAAGCACCAAAACTCCACTTGGAGTTCCCTCTTTATAGAAGAGATAATGTATACGATTTATCATGTACACTATCCTATCCTGAGAGAGAGAAACTGGAAGTGAGCTTCACAACCAGGATCTGCCTATTTGAATAGGAGTCTATCTGCCCAAGTTGAATAGCTCATCCTAGTTTAGCCTCTTAACAGAAAACTGTGGAGTCTCTCAACAGCACCTGTGTTTGAATGGTTCTCAGCCAAATTATTCACCTGACTCAAATTAAATTTTAGCTGACCTTCTTTCTGGTATTATGATATGGCACATCGAGGGGTGTTTTGGAGTTCTGGAAGAGTTACCTACTCTATTTTGCAATACTTTCAGAAAAAGAGTTTACTCACCATGGCTCCTGGTGGGATCAGATATGCAGAATATTTGCTATTTGCATAGCCCTTTGAACCTAAAGAAGTCAAAATCAATCTTGGAAATAGTTTTCCTGGTGACCTTGATTCTACACAGAAGCCTTAAGTTTCAAAATTTTTCTGCCAGACTGCTTAGAGCTCCAATTTTATAGTATTTAGAGTATTTCTCCTCCCCAGGTCTCACCCCCCTCTTCTTTTCTACTATTCCATCTGAAAGTGTAGCGATAGCTGTCTCACTCATTTGGATTTGTTCTGCCCTTTCCCTGTGGTACAAAGAACTTGAATGAATCAATTTAAATTGGCCAGAAAAAATAGCCAGCAGCCTGCTTATGTTCAAATCCTCTGCCCTAATCACCAGTATGGAAAACCCATTGAAAAGACCTGCACATAATCTTACATCCATTGCATTAAAGATGAAACTGCTGAATTGAAAAGATCTCAGCCAATTAGAATTGAACACATAACTCAATAGTGTGTCTGGCAGTTAGATTTGAAAAGGCTGCCTTTGACAAAGAAAAGCACTCCTTTATGTCAGGCTGTTTAGGGTCAGAAAATAACCAAAACTAGAAACAGAACTAAAACTTCTTGTTTGTTTCAGTACTGATGCCAGTTAAAGTAATTTACAGAGGCTCCTGTCCCAATATCTAATTACCCAGAATACAATATTTGTATACAGCAGACGCACTCTAATTCACAGTGACAGGGAGCTGGAGTTGGAGAATTAGTGAGTAAGTAAGCAAAAACAATAAAAATCAAGGCTCCTGTACCATGATATATACTTTGTTCATTCCTTTTGACAAGTATGGTATGGTGTGAATTATTTATAGTAAATGTATTATAGTGTATTCTCTAAAAGTAATGAAGTCTTACATTTGTAAGTTTCTACAGTTTTTAGCCAGTAAAAACTAATGAAGAGATGAGGGTGGGTGAGGAGTAGAAGTAAGAAGAGGTGGATTCATTAAATTATTTATTAAATTTTCACCAATGAATTATAAGCTCTCAGGCTTCTACATTGAATTCTTACCTATTTGGAGTTTAGTTACTTAGTTTAGTAAATCTAGTTTAGTGAGCTAGACTGGATTGCGGGGTGGAGGAAGGGTTAAACAAAAGATTTAGATGATATTTCAAAATCCATATGTGGTTTTTTTGGTATACTGATCACATTTCTACATGTTTAGATACTCTCTTTTAATAATAAGTAAAATAACTCCAACTATCATTAGAATGGGAAGAACTTTTTATTGTTTAGGAAGATAATTCACAAAAATATTTTTGAAATATAATAGCTATGCAAGAATCCACATAGTTAAAATGGTTAGTAGAAGAGAGCTTACATTCATCAAGCACCTATCACATATGCATATATACATAATTTAATTATCAAAATAACCCTTTAAATTGTAATTGTCTTTGTTTTATAAATAGTTGAGACTTAGAGCTATTAATTCATACTTGCCCAACCTGCACAGCTGTTAAGCGAAGAACTGGTACCAAATAGAGGACTATCTTATTGCAGAGTTCAAGCTTTTACAAACACACTGTAAAATCAGATCTAAGCCAAAATTCCATCCTTATTAACTTAATGAATTTTGAGAAGTTATTTAACCTCTCTAAACCTTTATCCTCAAATTTAAAATAAAGAAATTAATATCCACTTTACAGAATTCTGATGAGAGTTAAGGATAAGACGATAATGCTTGGCACATAACAGATTCTCAATAAAAATGGCGATAGCTGTTATTGGTAAATTCAGAGAGGAGATTCAGTAGAATCTATGTGACTCCCAAATCCCATGGTCTCTCCTAATATACAACATACTTTAGTGTACAGTAAGAAATGATATATTCAGATGATGGGCATCCTCTATAAACCCTAATGAAGGGTTTATATTCCTACCAAACACCACTGGACAAAACTGGCATATATAAAAGCATGTGTTATTTTGTTATATTGATATATCTTATTTATGGCTCAAGTTATACCATAAATTTTTAAATCTCATGACTAAAGAAAAATGAAGGAGGTTTTGAAAATCACTAATCAAATATTATGAAAGCAATTCAAAGCCATTATTCTAATATGCATAGTTGTATGCAAATATATAAAACAGTATTTTAAAATTATAGCACAAATTTGCAA